AGTCAATCACGGGAATGAAGTCGTGGAAGATCAGTCGATCTTCGCACTTTTCGGATAGTCCGTTTTCAGAAAAGGAGGGTGCCTCGCAAAACGGCGGCGGCACTCATGAGCAGTACGGGGAAGGTAAACACAACAACAGTAAAAGCCATAAAGAACATTCCGACTCTGAGAAGCTTGAACGAGCTTACAAGGAGAAGAAGGACAAGAAGAAGAAGCGCAAGAAGAAGGACAAGGAACGACAGAGAAGGCGGAGCGAGGACTCGGACGAGGAAGAGGAAACTGAGCTCAGCTGGGTGGAACGAACCAAAGAGACCTTGGAGCAGGAGAACAAATCTCAGCACAAGTCAAATGGTTTGTTTGCTAATTGCAAGAAAAATGTACGTTTCAACTAATTCAGTAATTTTTTCTCTAGACCACCCGGAGAAGCGAAAGCATTCACAGCTAGAGCCGGAAAGTTCTTCCACGACCAGTGATGGAGTTAAGAAGATGAAACACTCCGCTGTTGACAGTTCACGAAAAACGGACGTTCTTGATTCCTTGCTGAAGGGTGCCCTGCCTAAGGGTTTTGACGAGAATGGTAATGTTGAGACATTTTTTGGGACTTTCTCGTTCTAAGTTTTATTTTTCACTGACAGTCAAATCGTGGAATGGCGAGTCGTCCAACTTGAACCGATCCATTGCTGAGGACAATAAAAAGTCAACCGTTTATGATTACGATGAAGACGATTACAATAATGAGTTTGATCAGGGAAAGGTAGGTTATATCTGTTTACGGTGGTAGGCGGACATTTCATCGCCTTGTTAGAGTGCATGCGATGGCGCTGAAATCGCGATGAAATAGCCTAGAATCGTTTACAGTTTACTGAACATTTATTTATGTTTTACCTGTTTATAATTTCAGATCAAAAAGACAAAAAAGCCAATGGAAAAGGTGGACGTGTTTCATCGGAGTTCAATCAAGACCAATCCATTTCAACGTGCGGGACACAGCAGGTATGGCAACAACAACAACAACAACCACAACAACAGCAACGGCAATGACAGCCAAAATTGGTTTCGAAATTCCTTCAATAAGCCGCCAGCTAATAAGTTCAACGGTATAAATAATAAGCCTTTTACAAAATTTGGAGAAGGAGGTAGTGGTGGTGGGGGTCATCACAGACATTTTGATAAACACAACGGCTACCACCATCCCTACAACAACAATAACCACCACCACCGACCTAACTCCAACGGCGGTTATCACCAGAGGAAGTTTTTTAATAAGCATCGCTAATATAACCGCTCGATTTAATTTATTCATCTTGTTCCCTGTGATTCAACGTTATTTAGTAATATCCGCATNTTTTTAATAAGCATCGCTAATATAACCGCTCGATTTAATTTATTCATCTTGTTCCCTGTGATTCAACGTTATTTAGTAATATCCGCATTTTCATACTCCTCCTCCTCCTCATCTCATCATTTGGGCTTTCGGGCTCTACACGACATAAACAAGCAAATACAACAAGTACAAACGAACATACACGTAAACACTCAAAGAATACACACGCAAAGTAATAAACTCCCACACACACTTGTTCTTCCACCTTCAGGCGCCTTCCTCATTGTCGCCACACGCTATATATTATCTGTTCTACTATTTTTAGTAGCCCTATCACCCTAAAAATACTTTACTTTTAATATATTACAATACAAAAAAACTTTCACTTCACTCAATTAATTGTCACTTCTACTCATCATACTAGATCAACTGAAGGAAAGACGGACAAGCCTGGCACCCTTTTCCAGGCCCTAAACTGTTGACCCCATTCTAGAATCGGACTGCAATCTCCAGTGCTCTCGATTCATCAACAGGAAACTTTATTCAGTACGCGCATGACTTTGAGGCGAAGTGTGTTTGTGCGTGTTTATGTTTTGGCTCGTTTCAGCAGCGACAGAAGGAAAAAAGCAAGCACCAGAAAGTCAGGAGAGAGTGCAAG